ACATCACTTCACATGGCAGGTGTGAAACCCAGGTCACTTTTTAAAGATAGTCTCCTTAGTATCCAGTAGACTGGGGGAAGTTGACAACTCTCTTTCCTTCATTAGTTTATTTCTTCATTCAGCAAATATTGTGTGCTTGAAATGTGCCAGGTTTTGTGGGTACTGTCCCTTCCCTCATAGAACTTCAGATCTAATGGGAGAATTGTATTTTAAATAACCACACTCATGAATACATAGTGCAGTTGTGGTAAGTGTTTCGAAAGAACATGTGAAATGCTTTGAGAGAACATGACGGGACCTCCTTCAAAGTAGGGGATTATGGAAGGCCTCCCTAACAAGGTGCTATTTAACGTAAAACGGGGAGAATGAGTGGGAATCAGCCAGGTGACACAGATACACTGCAGGGAGAAGTTTGCAGAGAGCAGAAATGGTATCTGCAAAGGGCCTGAGGCAGGGAGAATTTGGCGGCCATGGATGAATAGAGAGAAAGCCCGTGTGTCTGTGGAACCAAGTGAGTGAAGGGGCAAAATGGCATGGATTGAGGCTGGAGCCACAGGTAGGGGCAAGATCACAGGCACTGTCAGCCTTGTCAGGTTGTGAACTTTCTCCTGAGATCATTGAGACGCCTTTTCTTCATTCCTCTCAAAAGTGTGAAGCACAGAACGCTTCAGAGACGGTGCTGAGCACCAGCCAACTTTCGCTGTGGAGAAGCCTATCTGGCTTCTGCTGTATTTCCTGAATCACTTGTTATAAATGACCTTACAGCATTGAGTTCTCAGCTTAAAAGATGATTCCTTTGGATATTTGATCTCAAGGTCTCCATCCACGGTTTCCTACTCTGCCCACAAGGATCACGGCCATTCTTGTGCATCAAAGTTGCTTGTTCTTCTCTGCCTTCCTTCTCTTTTCCACTCAGCTGTCGCCCCTTGAGGACAGCCCCTTAGTGCCTTACTCTTGTTCCTTCCATCTGGATTCTCAGAGACTCCTGAATCCAAGCCCTTGCTGCCTTTTGTCAGTAGAATCCTCTTTCCCATTATAGATCTCAAATACTTAGGCTTATTGCAGTTCCTTTTCTAGTCACTTCTAATTTTGAGTGTCATTTTATTCTTGGTTTGCCTGATATTTTTAAAGTTCTATTCATGCAGTGTTTTCCCCTAGGAATTACATGACTCTAGTCACTTTCTTTTAAAGAAGTTTTTTCTTCATCTAACAAAATAGTTTTCTCTTTCATGAATTGCAATCTCTGTTTTTCCTTTCCCACCCCCTAGTTTTTTCCAGGATGGACTGAAGGCAGTGGAAAGCCTCAAACCTTCCATCGAAACACTGTCAACAGATCTTCACACGGTGAGTAGCTTCCCTCCCACAGTGGTGTTGAAACAGTTTTTACGCAACAGACACTTTCATTTAAATGAAAGTGTAATCCCGTGTCCGCGTGCCATGCTACCCAGGAATAGCCTTGTCATGCCGCGCGGAGTTCCCGCTTCCATCCTGTTTTGGTTGGAGGAAAGGCGTAACTCACAAGGGAGGCAGGTGTCCCGTTTGTGTGCAGACACCCACGAGCAGGAGTGTTTCTCTGTGCCTCAGTCTCCATTTTCTGTTTTGTTCATTTTTTTTTAAAAAAGATCAAACAGGCCCAGGATGAAGAAAGAAGACAGTTGATACAGCTTCGAGATATTTTGAAATCAGCATTGCAGGTTGAACAAAAAGAGGTGAGAAGATTTAATTTCGAAATATCACTGTTTTATCCCTGTGACTTGGAGGCTTTGGGCCTGGTGAATGTGAATGTCGTGTCTTCTAGAAGCTCACAGTTCACCGCGGGGCTATGTCAAGGAGCGCTAAAACATTTAGTGTGTTCTCTAAATTTAGTTCTATAAAACCATCTTTTAAAATATGTTTATTTCAGAGGGGAAGCATTTACTAGAGGCATGGCCTTAATGGCAGTGTGTAAACGTTTTTTGCTCTCTCAGTTGCTAGATGAGTAGCTTTAGTGGCTTCATCACAGAGACCACATGTCATTTGTGCCATTTATTCTGTAGCTGGACCTTTTGGTTTTCCTGCCCTGATGCACTTAATACATGGACTCTGCCCCTTTGGGCATAGGCACGTAGTGGACCGTCTGGGGCTTCTCCAGCCCTGGGTTGTGTTCTGTAAAACTCGAGGAGCTCGCTTTTCTTACAGCTGCTTCCTGACGGGCAGAAATCCTCACTTTGTCTCACGTCACCTTCTTTATATAATGACACCTGTGTGCTAACACATTAGCAGTGATGGTTTGTGCTTTGGAGGGTCATTAGAAAACCATTAAAAATTACATTTTAAAGATAATTTATTATATTTTCACTACAATGTAGGTATTATAATGTGAATTTAACAAATTCACTCCCTTGTCAATAAAAGGAATGTGTCTAAATGTATATATAGTAGGTTTTAGATCCATTAGTGAACTACTTAGCAGAGCATAAAGTTTACTCATGGCAGTTTGGTGTGCTCTATTTTGTTGTAAGTTCTTGTACTATAACTGAATATTGTTGTTTTTCTCCCAAATGCATTTACCTTTTGTGACCGAAGTCTAGGAGAGTAAGTAGTTCAGTATTTTAATTAATTGGAGAATTTTGCATGCTTGGTTTATGAACTTCAATATCTATCTGTCTCTCTCTCTCTCTATATATATATATCTTCCTAGTATATGTTAATGGCTAGCAGCATTTTTAATTTTAACCCTTCCTCTTTCATTGTAGTAGATTTGTTAAAGGCTAAAGAGTTTGTATTACGAATACTAGTGAAATGGACATCTTCCAGGTTTACAGTTTATACTTTTGCTGCCATTCCTTCATGAAGATGAAGCAGCTCCCTCCCACCCCTACCCCATACCCGCTGCACGGCTGAATCCTACATACCCTTCTGGTCTGAAGCTCCGCCTCTGGAGCGCTGCCTCTGATCTCTCCAGCCCACAGTGACCTGAGTTCATAGAGCATATTCTGATTGAAGGACTCATTCCAGTCTCAGCCTGTTCCTTTTTAGATGTTGGCTGTGTCTTAAGTGCACAGATGCCTTTTCTCCAGTTAGACTGCGAGCAGCCTGAGGATGCCCCTGCCTTCCGGGCCGCAGCGCTCATTGTGTGGGTTCTTGGTAACATGGGCCGACTGAGCGAGACCTCGCAGAGCAAGGCTGTGTGTAGTGCCAGAAGTTACCCACAGCATGCCCACCTCCTCCCAGACGAGAGGATGTGTGTCCTGCCGCTTTGATAATCCCAAACATGGAATATAAGCACAAAAAGAAAAGGGAAGAAAAAGAACTTGAAGTACAGAGCACATAGTGTCCTAATTGTTATTAGAAGAGGAGTGCCAGGTGTGGGACCCAGAGTGCCATCCAGGCAGGTGCCCCCCAGTGCTCTGTGGACGTGGCTGAGAGCCGCTTTGGTCTAAGCAGGAGGATCAAACCCGTGAAGCAAAGCTCAGTTTTAAAATAAGGAAGAGCAGCTGCTGGAGTGGGGTAGCCCTCTGGGTGCAGTGCAAGGGCCATGTTCGCTTTGGCTGTGCAGAATTAGGTTTGGGAAAACTGGCTGTTGGGAGAGAGCTGGTTGCTTAACAGCTTTGCGTAAAAGTATTACAGATTTACCTGCACAGACCAGAAGTCTTTTATGGCTTATTGGTTTTTTGTTGGCCATCCCATCTGCCCCTGACTGCACAGAGGGGTCAAAGGAACCCTCTTTACTGATTCTCTCTGGCTTCATGCCCGGCAGGCTCCGTGCCGAGACCTAGCTCACCAGTCTCCCTTTGTCATTGTGTTTACTGTGTATCACGCTCTGCATTGCTTTTTGGTGAATTCATTGAATTGGACAATCTATGAACACAGCTGCAAGTAATAAGCAAATGTTTATTCACATTTAAATTTTATGTGTTTTAAAATGGTTTTTATGATGGGGGTTCCACTTGTGTTCCTCTGATTACAATGAGAATTGACCACATGGGCATTGTTTAGACTTTCATTCCCTTTGGTTGGCTTCTCTTCTGTGACTTAGAAAACCAAAGGTGTTAGATGATTTTTATTCAGTGTTATAAAAATTCTGACTATGTGGTAGATAAAAATCAGGTTACGTGTCTGAATGGTTGGTAGAAGCCAGTGCTCCTCACTCTCTTCCAGTAAATCTCAGACATCAGTCATTTGAAGAGATGAAGAGCATGGCCATTATAGTGTGGTGGCTTTAGGCTGCTTTTCTTTGTCACCCTGTGGCTATGTGCTGGTGTGGAGCCTGTGCCATTGTGGTCCCAGTGACCCCACACCTCCCAGTCACCTGACATTCATGCTTTGTTGTTGATGTTTTCTGCTCTTCGTAAAGAGGATATTCCTGTTTGATTTTTTCCATTCTTTTATTATGAAGATTTTCCAACTTACAGAGAAGCTGAAATACTGTACAGTGAACACCTATGTATGCACCGTGGCATTTGACTTTTGGGAAAGATTCCATCTGAAATGTTAAAACCCTCAGCACTTCTAATAATTTTGCATGATCTTTCTCCCCGTCACCCTTACCATCTTCTGCCTTCCCCATCCCACCTGCATCCATCTCATTGGAGCTCTGCTGGGACAGACCCTGCTGTGACGCCAGCAAGTCCCTGCCAAAGCCCCGTCATTGGAGTGCAGGCTCCTCGCTGCTTGATGTTGAGAACCCAGACTTGTGCTACTGGGGGAGGGTCAGGCTCTGGGATATGGTCTTGGTAGGTCCAACTGCTGAAACCACTGTGATTTTTCACAGATCTGAAATATGGTCTGTGCATCTCCCCTTCCCTCTCTCTCTCTTTCTCTTTCTCTCTCTCTCCCCCTCCCTCTCTCTCCCCCCTTTCCCCATGCCCTCACTTGCACCCCATCACCCACCCCCCGGTTGCTTCCCCCTTTTCAAGCATCCTGTCTAGTAGGATGTGGTTGAATAGCTTGTGCCATCCAGGCAGCAAAGGTCCACCACAGCCATAATTTTCCTCTGACTCGGGCTTTCCTGTCTGGGTTTGCAAACTTTACTATGTCCAGTTCTGGCCTCAATCAGAAACCTCTGCCTGGTGGCCACTTGCTGCCTCTCCTGCTGAGCTCCTGGGTGGCCTGGTCCTGGCCTTCATGTCGGCCTCAGTAGAGGACCTGTTCATTGATTCACATATTCAGCTACTCTTTTGTCCACTTTTTCTCTAAACCTGTGCTGCACATACCTCACAATAAGATAGACACAGTTGTCACCTCTTCAGGGGTTCATGATCTGGGGGTGGGGAGAGGCAATTAGGGGCACAGTGTGATGAGCAGTAATGCAGCTCAGCTCCAAGAATGGGAGTCTGCCTGGTGTGGGGTGGGCAGGTGTTGTCAGGAATGACTTTCCAGAGGCTGTGATGCCTGAGCTGGGGCTTTGGAGGATGATTAGGAGTTAGCAGAATCCCAGCAGGTGGGGACAGGTGGTTGGCCTGTGTAGCTGTCTAGTGGAGCAGAAGAGCATGGATCTTACTGTTTGAATCCTAGGTCTGCATTTGGGCAAGTTCTTGGACCTCTCTCCATGCCCTGGTCTCTTCACCTGTAAAATAGGAATAATATGGCCCATTTCAGAAGGTTGTTTGGAGATCTAAGAGATCCTTTCTGATCAGCTTAATAAACGGGCACCAGTTCATTCATTCATTCTTGCATTCAGCAAATATTGAGCTCTTTGATGTTGAAGATATAGTAGCGACCAGAAGAGACCAAATTCCCTACCCTTGTGGTGTCACATTCTCAGTGTTGAACAGGAATGGGTCCTATTGTTATCTCCCACATGACCCTCTGTCCACATGGCCTCCCTGTTGACCTGTCCTCTGTCCTCGTGGTGCTGACCCCTCTCTACTCATCCCTCCTTGGGTCTGGGGTGTCCTATGGGGCTCCAGGCTCCTCCCCCTGCCCTTGATTCAGGCCTCCAGCCACCCCCACCTTGCTGTCTCCAGCCTTGTCTCCCTTCTCCACGTGTCCACTTACTGTGGGGGGACATGCTCCTCTCTGCTCCTGGGGCATTTCTTGCTTGCCTCACTTTTCAGGTTTTTGCAAACACTTTTTAAGTGAGATCAGTAATCCTTACAGCCACCTTGCGGGGCCGGCAATATTCACTCACGTTCACAACTTGAGAGAGAGAGAGACAGGAGAGAGAGAGAGAGAGAGAGAGAGAATGTTCTTAGAGCAGCACTCGGGGCTTGCTCACTCAGCACGTGGGTGGACACACCTGACACACCCTCGGAGGGTGGGGATGAGTTGGGCATCACAGCCCTCCCCAGACAGAGAAAGTTTAAGCCTCCAGAGATGACTCCTCAACAGATGTGTCAATCACAAGAGTTGTCTGAGCACACTTTCTGAGAGGTGGACAAAGTGTAACAGTTTTTATGATATTCTGGAGTCTTAGCTCGAAGATTCTTCTGATGTTGTGAGTAAACCTGTGTATGATATTTGTAATACAGGCAACGTCACCCTTTTCCCCCCATTCCTGAAGATTTCAGATAGTGAGTCCGCTGCCCACCTGGGCAGATTCTGTCGTGGCAGGACCCAATGGCTAATACTTCACCAGCCCACGCAAAAGTTACGATCACGGACAGTGCCTGGGATCTGAGAATTGGTCTGGATGTCACAGCATAGAGGATGTATGGACATTGATAGAATTTTATGAGAGCCTTCTGAGGTTCCTTAAAGTGCCTTCTTAACCTGTGTCCTTCAGACTCACAGTCTCCTCACGTGGAGGCACTCAGTCAAGTCGCAGGTTGTCCTTGTCCCTCTCAGGGAAGTACAGAGCGTGTTGGAGAGTCTGTGAGCATCAGGGCAACCCTTGGCAACTTGTCTTTCTTATGTGTTAGATGATGATTCTCTCTAGAGAGAGAGAGAGAGAGAGAGAGAGAGAGAGACTCTTTTCCCTTGAATTGTATTCCTTTAAATGGAAACGTTGATCATGCAAAACGGCTGGCTTCCTTTGTCACCCACCACCCCTTCACTTGGGTCAGGTGTTTTATACAGGTTAGAAGGGCTATTCTTGTCCGGTCACCTAGAAGTCACCTAGGGGATGCTGAAATAATTAGCGCTAAATTAGCAGATTCAATTTTATGTTAAACAGGTTATATTCATCTTCTTTACAAATTTTAAAATTGTATGTGATAGCTTAGCTTCAGATTTGCTTGCATGCATTAATTGCTTCTAGAAAGGCCTGGTCTAAAAAAAGAATAGGGCAGGGTAATTTCTTCCTTAACTTCCAGCGTAGGGTCTGATTCTGTCGAAAAGAAGAATTTCCTTTATCCTATTCATAAGAGCTGCAAGTAGTTCCGATTAATATGCCCGGCATGAATACTATTAGCGGTGTTGTCACGTGATTTCACCACTTTTTTTGTGCAGGATTTTTTCCTCCTCAGATCAATAGACATATTTCTTGGTTGTGCAGTTTAGTCTTTTGACAGGTTTATTTTTAGTCCTTCACAGAGATTCCACACAGGTGAGCAGTATTTCTTCGTTCTCCTTCCACTGCAGTGCTCCCAGCAATGTTGAAATCTGGGTTTGCTCTGAATTTCTCCTGCTGATGTACTGCCCTTGAGAGGACGTGGGAACTGGCACCAGCCTCGCCCTGGAGGAGCTGTGCGCCCTGTTTGTCCAGAGGCCGAGTGCTGTGTGAACTCTCTGTGGAAAATGAGTTTATTTCTCCCATTTGGGAGGTCTGCTTGTTTCAGAGTCAGGTGTCAGTTCAGTAACAGAGTGCTTAAGCATATTATTGATTGCTCAGATGAAGATTTAGTTTTTTTTTGTTTTTTGTTTTTTGTTTTTATTGCAGAGTTTAATAAGTCAGTGCCAGACACTCGTGCTCCTGGATTGGAATACTTAATGTTTCGGTGACAGTACTCCCCTGCAGCTGCAGATTCAATGCAATCCCCATCACAGTCCCAGCTGCTTTTTTGCAGAAATTGACAAGCTGATTCTAAAATTCATATGGAAGTGTGAGGAACCCAGAGTAGCCAAAACAATCTTGAAAAAGAGCAAAGTTGGAAGACTCATACTTCCCCATTTCAGAACTTACTGCACAGTTATAATGATGAAGAGAGTGTAGTCCTGGCATTAGAAAAGTATAGATCAAAGATACAGAATTGAGAGTCCAGAAATAAACCTTGACGTTTAGGGACAATTTATTTTCAACAAGGGTGCTGAGACCATGGGGAAAGATAGATGCCTCCTCATAGATGGCATTTTTTTTTTTTATTTCAGCATATTATGGGGTACAGATGTTTAGGTTACGTGTGTTGCCCTTGGTTCCCCACCCCCAAGTCCGTGTTTCAAATATGTCCATCCTTCGGGTAGTGCGCATTGCACTCCTTGTGTATACAAATACCCGTCTCCTCCTCCCTCCTCCCCGATAGATGGCATTTTTGAATCCCTGGATGTGAATTTTATGTTCTTCTTTTGGTGTTGCAAAGAAAAGTTTCTTTAATGTATATTTTTAAAAACCCAGACATTTAGGCTTAAGTTTCCTTTGTGTACTGCTTTTTAAAAAACTGGGACCTGGACAGTATTAAACATAAATTTCGGATCGTTTTTTAGGACTCCCAACTTCGCCAGAGTACAGCTTACAGTTTACATCAGCCTCAGGGAAACAAAGAACACGGAACCGAGCGGAATGGCAACCTCTACAAGAAAAGCGATGGGTACGTGAAATGGTGTTACTAGAGTTGAAATGTACGTTCATTATCTCCTGTGTCCAAAATATCTAAATTTTTATTGTTTTTCCCACTTATCCACAAGGATCCGAAAAGTGTGGCAGAAAAGGAAATGTTCAGTTAAAAATGGTTTTCTGACCATATCCCATGGTACCGTAAGTATTCTCTTTTACTCCGTGGTGTCTACTGTGGTTAGATGAAGTTGGTATTGGAGGACTCAGTGGGGTTAGAACAAGAGTTGTTGTTGCAGTATTAAGGGTGCGTTTTGAAGAATTTCCTTGTTAGAAAAGCATGTTTGGGTTCCTTCTCGAGTCGGTACACCCGCATTCTGTATGCGCATTTTCAATCAGGTGGAGCCTTCTTACCTTTCACTGCCTAGCAGAGTCAGGAGTAACTGATAAGCAAGCTTGTCTGGAATCCTGTGACTTCCAGAAACCAAAAACAACAAACTACTCTACTCCCTTGCTATCTTTGTCTCTGGAAATCGAACTTCTCAGTTGAGAAGATTTCTACTTTTCCATTAAGGGAAAAACATTTAAATGGTTAGGACTCTGGAAATCAGAAATCCAGGAGAAAAGAGATTTCAGGAATTTTACTGTAGAAAGCTCACATACTGTGCCCAAACTTAAGGCCTCTTTCTGTCTTCCTATTTACAAGACCCCACCAGAGAAAAACAGAGCCCAGTATATTGAGCTTATGGAAAACACAGGATAAAGTTCCTTACCAACCCAGCTTTCAGAGACCAGGAACAAACACAGCCCTCACACCCCCTGTGATCTTTACACAGTGACATTAGGCATATTATCACCTCTCCTGGTGTGGCTAGAGCTGGTGAAAACCACGTAGGCTAGCAGACAGTTTGGGAAACGTCTCAAGGCCGAGTTGGTTGCCGTTTTGTTGGTAGTGAGAATGTTGGTGGTGGTTTGCATTTCTGTCCCCCAGGTGGAGGCCTCGTGGCACATGCACACCCACAGCCTGGGTCACGTTAGTGGATGGTAGTGATTGTCATGCCTGCTCCTGTTCCTCTGGTCCCCTGGTGAAGGCAGAGCTGGGCAGGAGCACAGACGGGCTTTAAGCTCTATAGAAACGTCATCACTCAACATGGGGTCCAGAGGAACAGCCCCGCGGTACTTAGGAGTAGGGAAAATAGAGTAAAACCTCACTTGAAGGATGTTACAGAAATAAGTTTGTGTTCCCCTGGGGGTCCATTCATTTTTGCTGATTTCATTACGCAGGGGGAGCGAGAGACTAGAACTCGCAGTATAGCAAGTGTAGTCTGTGGGGATCTCTTGGTGACCTCTGGCCCAGGAGAGTGAACATGTCTTTTGACTGGACAAATAAAGATCATTTCCTTTTTCGCAAAATCCAGTTTTCACTGGTTGTGTGATCACTACCTTACTCCCTGGACCACACAATTTGGATCTTAATGTGACATTGCTTCCATATGAATATATGCATGGGTGTGGAGGCATTAGTTCTAGATCAAGGGAAGTGAATTTATTCAGCCATCACTGGTCTTTAAAATTAAGAATGTTGCGCGGTGGCTCACGCCTGTAATCCCAGCACTCCGGGAGGCCGAGGCGGGCGGATTGTTTGAGCTCAGGAGTTCGAGACCAGCCTGAGCAAGAGCGAGACCCCGTCTCTACTAAAAATAGAAAGAAATTAATCGGACAACTAAAAATATATAGAAAAAAATTAGCCGGGCATGGTGGTGCATGCCTGTAGTCCCAGCTACTCGGGAGGCTGAGGCAGTAGGATTGCTTGAGCCCAGGAGTTTGAGGTTGCTGTGAGCTAGGCTGATGCCATGGCACTCACTCTAGCCCGGGCAAAAAGAGTGAGACTCTGTCTAAAAAAAAAAAAAAAAAAAAATTAAGAATGTTGGACTGGATGAGGCTGGGTTCCCTTCTTGATCTAAACACCTGTGACTCTGTCTGTGGTTTGTTTTCAAATTGGTGTCAGCTCAGTTGTTTGTTTTAACTCAGATTGATGACCTCTGTGTAGAAACTGTCATAGAGTAAGACTGAGTTTTAGTACATGCTCTTACAGCTCAAGTCAAGTAGCATGTTTGCTTCCTTCAGAGTTCCCCTAGACCCAGGACCTCAGCCTAAGCCATGAGTGGCTCTCCCTCCACGACAGATGAAAACGAGCCTAGTGACCTTTGCTGACAGCATAAACTTAACTTTGAGTCACTTCCATTGCATGAGCTTCCTGGAGCCCAGAGGACACGGAGGCTTAGTTTTCTTTACATTGTGATGGGTTGCCCCAGTTTTTAGCAGATAGTACAGTTACAACGAGCATAACTAGGATGCTGACAGCTCAGCTGTCACACAGCATGCATATTTATTAATAAAAAGTGCTTTGTGTTTAAAGGGGAAACCCTCCTCAGGGAATCTCTGACTCTGGGTGCCTCCTCATGCCTTGGCAGCCGCTGCCTGCCATAGCTACAGGAGTGGTGGGGGGGCTCTGTCCTGATCCCTACCCCACTGCCTTGCAGGAAAATAATAGGTTAGTTTTCCAGCCCTCTGTTCACTTGCTGAGTATTTCTTTTCTTGCTTTTCCTTATTTGCTGTTCTGTTCACTCTGGAAGTCGGACTCCTAAAGACTCCTCCGTACTACTGCATCCGCAGAGTGTTTGCATGTGGTGGTGTGAATTAACCTGGACTGAGAAAGAGGGTGGCGAAATGCCTTTTTGGTTTAGTTTTGATTTGACTGACTCCTTGTGTAGCTTACCTGCTTAGCCAGCATCTCTTGAGTGTGCTAGTTTACCATCAGGAAAAGGCAAATTTCCAAAGACTTGACTGAGAATATGGGACTCTAAGAGCAGCGTGTGGTGCACAGCTGAGAAGTGGGTCTTTAGGAAGTGAAAGCACACAGGGTGCATTTGCACTGTTAGGAAAACCCTCCACGGGAAGCTGGCAGCCTTCGGGAAACGAAATTGGTGTATTCTGTATTTGAGCAGAGGGATGAGGATAACATCCGGGATGGATTCAGTGAAAGCCCAGCTGATATTCCCTGTTCCCCAAGGCTAATTGTGTTTTCTGGCACTGGGAAGAAGTCATCCTTGGGATGAAAGAGCTCTAATTAGTATCCTCTTTGCCAAATTCACAGCATTGCCACACCACCAAGGGCTGGGGACTCTGTTGTACTGGAAGAAATGTTCACTGGCTCTTACACAACCTAAATTTTAAATAAATGATAATCAGTCATGCAGAAAGAATATAAACTTTTAAAAGCCTGAATAATTGGGAGAAAATAGAGTGGCATGATTAAATAGTAATAGTAATCACAAATGATCCATGCCTTTGTCACAAACGCTAAGGCTACTGAATCTTTTTTCCCCCGACTCCTTTCTGAGTTTTTTTTTTTTTTTTTACTAAATCAGAGTTTCTCAAATTAAGTTCTCAAGGAACGCTGGTATCTTGTGACTTAGATAAAACTATTCTATAGTTGAATTAAATGATGATACTTTTTTCCAAATTGCATCAAAGAAGGAATTTAATGGATAAAATTTTCTCTCACAAATTTTCCTTACAGCTTTTATGTTAGCTAACGCTTAATCTGAAAGGACAAATAGCAAACAATTATTAATGTAAAACTGAGAACAGCTGATACTTCTTAAGATCAGTTTATATGTTTTGTGGACCCATTCTCGTGGTTGTCGTTTTTTAGTATGGAGCCACGTCTATGCCTTTATAATTATTCCTGTTTCAAATAAAGACACTTGTTTTTCTATATTTTGTGGCATTTATATCCTGTGAGGTGAGAAATCTGTCTTTGATGGTAGTTATCTCAGTGGAGAACAAACACCTTTCCCCAGACCCCAGGGACAAAGGAGGACTGCAGGGTGGAGGTGGGAGGGAGAATGGGTAGTGATCGTTTGCAGTGTGGGTCTTTGCTGCTCTTGAAGATAGGTCCAGGTCAGCGCCACCTCCCCTGGATACCCACGTCGAGGACAGGCAGGGTGGCAGTTCAGCACGTGAGCTCTGGAGTTAGGCTGGCTTGCTCGAACACTGGCTTCCCTGCTCCCACGCTGGGTGACCCCCATCAAATTATTTAGTCGTCTGGGCTAAATGGTTCTTACCTCAAAGGGCACTTAGGAAAATTAAATGAATTAATTAATGAAAATGTTTAGAACAGTGCCTGCCTCATGTAAGTATTTAGTAATAATAGCTGAGTAAATGTAGCTATTTTATTACAAATCATTATCTTGTCCATGAAAGTGCCTCTGTAATTATCAAAGTGCACAAACCCCTTTTCCTGTTTCTGTATCTAAGACTCAGTGGACTCCACAATTTTGAAGTGGCCCTAAAAATTGCACATGTACAGTTGTGTGATCACAGGAAGGTGACAGAACAGAAAGAGACTCTATGTGGGCTGTACACGTAGAGTCTTGGTTGCATACATGGTTTGGGCTCCTACTTGCCACTATAGAAATAGATCATACGATGCATTTGTTCCTGCGTGAGCCAGGTAAAGTTCCAAAACTGATGGTGCTTTTACTTGGAACTGTCCATGTTGGGAAGATTAGGCAGAGCTTGGAGTCTTCTAATACTGATTTCTGATGATCCAGGAATTCTGTTAGATCCGTGTACTGTGGAAAATATTTAGTGACTTCTGTGTAGGAGATAAGATCAATACATCCACAAACTAGAGAGTCTAGTACAACCCTGTTTATCCAACTTCTGCTTATCCAAACTTATGTTTATCAAACCTAAATCCTCCCGCCCTAAATCTGTGGACTCAGTGAGAGAGCCCACTAGGTCTGTAAACGTGTGTGGGTCTCACAGGTCTGTCCAGGTATGGATGCATATGTGTGGGTATCTGGATTCCACATCCAAGCTTTTTATCCTGAAGCAACTGGTGGCCACAGTAAGGGGGGCACAGGAACAATGGAAGTTTAAGACATTCTTACTTGATCTTTCCTTTAGCACCTTGGTAGGTAGGTAAGATAAGCCCATTCATATCTGGCGATTTCTCCTAAGACTTCCAAGAGGCATTTTGCTATTCAGTATTTTTGTTTCTGAAATTATCATCTTACTCTCTGCCCTTTGCTTTTTGGAACTAAGTATGCTTTTTTTTTTTTTTTTTTTTGATTGTAATGAAATAGTCATTTTTGACACACCGCTGACAAAAGTGTGTTGTGAGCTCTTATTGCTATTGTGTGTTGGAGGTTACTTATATGGAGCTTATATGAATGAAGTGTGTTTTGTTGAAATGCAGTGACAGAGATGGTTGGCATTTAGGAATATGACTCTATTATCTGTCATCACTTCAGACAGTAGGGAAAATTATTTCTCTGCCATTTCTGTGCTATGAGATTACTTCCCCTGGAAGTGAGGTTTACACTCAGAAAAACACTATTACAATCACCAAAAATTGAGCTGGGTGCCCAGGTTACATGGCAGACCCTCTGTGTCATTAGGAGCAATCAGAACTGAATGTTTAGGGCTTTAGCAGTGGAGCATCTTGATCTCGGGGAGTCCACTGCCAGCAACCTCAAAGCTGGTGCTGCTCATCCCGTCAGGGCGGGTTTGTGCAGGCCTCCCAGTATGCCCTTGCAGGGACGTGGGTGCCCTCACAGGTTGCTGAGGTTCAAGGACTCTCTGCAGTGCACCTCTGTCGTGCTTTCCTGCGTAAAGTCTGCCTTTTGAAAGCTGTCTTTGCAAACTAGTAAAAAGCCTGCACTTGCTGTATTTTCAAGAGGAATGATACGGTATGATTTTCTAGCCCTGCTCACCCATCTTTTTTTGTTTGTTTTTAAACAGGCTAACCGGCCTCCAGCGAAGCTCAACTTATTAACCTGCCAAGTGAAGACCAACCCTGAAGAGAAGAAGTGTTTTGACCTTATTTCACGTAAGGCTCTTTCTGAGTGCTGCGCCATGGAGAAATTATTTTAAACCCTCTTCTGGGGCATGAGCCCCATTTCAAAGGCTGCATTTTAAAGAATTGGCTTTTCAGGAGAAATGCCCCTTTTCAAGGGCCATACACGCTCTGCACTCCCACTGCAACTGGCAGCTTGCCAGCCTCTCCTATTGAGGTTGGACTTTGAGGACTGGCCCTGCCCCCGTGGGCTCTGTAAACCTGGAGACGTGCTCTCATCTCTCTGAGCCTCAGCTTCCCTATTTGTAAACAAGGAGATTATGCAAGATAAGTCCCCAAGCCTAAAATTCCTTCACTTTAAAACAGATTTTTAAAAAGGACAGTTCTGTTGTCAAAAACTTGCATAATTTGAGTGGTGTTAGAGATGCTATAAAACTAAAATGATAGAATCGTCAGTAGAGCCCTTGAAACTTCATTTTTCAGAATTGTTTTATCTTCCCCCATAATTACTCCTTCTGTATACTTTTTTGTGGCATTCACAAAAGAAGCACCACAGAACCATCTATTGTGGCGAATGTTTATTAGCACCCCCTAATAAAACGAAAAGGCCTTGTGCTATCCAAAAGAAAATAAGATAAACCTTTTGTCCTTGGCAGTTCTTTGTGGCAGTGTTACCGTTTGAAGGAAGAAAGGGCTGGTTTCCCCTTTGAAGAGGAAGTCACTAGGGATTTGGGTACAAGAGTTACCTTTGCAGAGGAAAGTGCTAGACTGTACCTTGTAGGCAGGTGGTGTGGTCCTACTTGCCTCATACTCCTGAGCAGGAGATGGCTGCTTTTCCAAATGTCTGTTGACTTATATTATTGAGGGCTAGGAAGTCATCTATCACATGACTTCATGCTCCATGTCCACTTGCCCGTGGTGGCTTGTCCTCATCCTCCCCGCAGTTCCCCTTTGCACGCATTCTGCCTCATGCTGGAGGGAGGGCCGAGTACCATGATGTGTGGAGAGGTATTATGTGGAAATTGTTCATTCTGTCCTTCAGACTCTAGACTGATTTGTAAAATAAAAATTGACTTTATCGTGCTTCGAATGCCCATCCCTACTCAGCTTAGTATGGTCCACAGATTCAATTATATCTTCTCATCAACGCTTGCCCATCTTTCAAACGAGATGTTTTAAAATGCTTAGCATTGACCATACTTTAAAATGTGATCACAGGCTGGGCTTGGTGGTACGTGCCTATAGTCCTAGCTGAGGCAGGAGGATTGCTTAGGCCTAGGAATTCAAGTCCAGCCTGGACCACACAGACCCTGTCTCTGAAAAAAATAATTGTGATCGCTGCCAGGTTACCTGTCTCCAGATAGCCACAAAAGCTTGAGCTAAAGGGAGAAAATTTGGTGGTGTAATCGGATGTCCACCAGTGGCTGGGGAAGACCCAGAGGGTTGTAGGCCTTTCTGTTTTCTGAAATAGTAACCCACGTGTTACCCTAATAGTAAAAGCGCCCTTCAGTAATCGATTAGCATGTTACAGTGAACTGAGATGGGCTGAGCCTTGCCCGCAGGTGGAGGTGGGGCAAGGACTTCTTCCCTCAGCTGCTCCCAGGCCCTCTGACTCACCCTGTAGGGAGGCCTGGCCAGATACCAAGTGGCAGAAACATTTGCTGCCAGGTATTCCCCAGCCTACACGTTTTTAACAACACGTCCGGCATCAGGGAGAATCAGTAGCGGCTACGTGTGCATAACTCTCTGCCAGGCGGGAATCACTGCATCTCATACGTGTGGGAAGGTGGTCCCGTGTAAATCTGGCTACACACAAGTGTGGTGACAAACCGCCATTTACCAAGATCCTGCTGGCGTCTTTGCTGCAGCCTGACACACAATAAATATCTGCAGGAAGGACTTTGAGCCTATGATACCCAGAAGGGCTCATCGAGCCCTGTTGGAGTTACTGTTGTGAATTTGCCAGAGTCTGTTGTCATCTTTGAGAAAAACTCTCATCTCTCCTCCCTCCCTGCTTGTCCTCCTGTGGGTAAAATGAATCCCAGTCCTGCAGATTCTTCGTCCTCTGCTAGTTTTCAAGAGGTGCTACTCCCCGGGAGCACCTGTAGTGAAAGCCCTTTGTGTGTTGCTGTGTGGGTTCGGGTGGTTGTGAGATACTTGAAACACTGCACAGCGGTAGAAACCCGGGTTTGTTGAGCGTCCTGGGAGGGTGAGGGATGTGGGGACAGGACCCAATCCTTCCTGACTCAGGATGGGCTGTTTCTACCCCTCTCAGATTCTTCCTCTACTTCCTGCCCAGGCTAGCGGGATGAGTGTCACCAAGATGCCTGTGAGCTCTCAAGATACCAGGTGATTGGGCACAGGCAGCAAGGATGTTAGCTCAGGCATGGGTCTGGTAGGCACCCGACGAGTCGTCCCTACCTCCTCTTCCTCTCCTGGTCAAGCTGTCTTAGAATATGCCCCGAGAACCCAGAGGAGGAACAGATTGGCTGGCTGGCTTTAGTTATTTCCTCCAAGATCATACTTTATAGTCCTTTTCCCTAAACAGGGATTCTGTTTTGTTTACACCGGATCAAGGTATAAACAGGCGCTGGCTTCTCAAGAAGGGTATTTCTGTGGCAGGGACTGCCCTCCTGGGAGCTTGTCCAGTCGCTTGCCCTTGGACTGACCCCACCCTCTGCAAATCCAAGTCCTGAGCCGTTATCCCTGAATCACACAGGCGCCCTGGCTGGGGTGGGAGGAGCAGGAGAACTCTGAGGAGGTCCAGGGCAGTCCTCTGAGTAGGATGGGGCCCAGAGGGATTCAGTGACTCTCTAGGCCCACACAGCAGGTTAGTGGCCAGTTGCAGCCAGAGCTCCAGCCACAAGCAGCCCCTCCGCACCAGCAGCACGTCAGAGACCTGGTCGTCCCCCATATTCTCTTGTGTTTCTTCTCCCTGGTAGTTGACATGCTGGAAACTGTTCTTTGGTTTATAGGCATCTTGAGAGAGAGTCTATGGTGGAGGGGATTCTTATTTGGAGCTTTTCACAGAGGTGTGGTCCCCATTCTCCACTTTTTACACATTAGAATGCAGAATTGACCAAAGGAAATGGGCTCCCTCTTATCTCCTCAATTTCCTGCCTGAGCCGTGCCTGGCCTGGCTGTGGAGTGGCTCAGACACACGGCGCTGGCGTGAGTGCCACGATGACAGCCCCTGGGAACTCTGGGACTGGCTTAGCAAACCACCCGGGGCCCCCAAGTGGGGCCTGGATTGTGGATCCCCCTGCCGCTTCCCTCCTCCACCCCCTGCAAGATGAGGCTGTTCACGTCAGGTCAGTCCTTGGGAGCAGGACAGAGTGGCCTTGCCCCTCCCTTCCTTCACCCTGATTCAGCCACTTACGTTGGAATCACAAAGTCAAGTTCATTTTGCTGGACTTGAAACATTTCTCTTCAGCCTTGTTCCTCTCCTCAGTAACAGGTGGGATAAAGTGTTGCTCCACTCCGCCAGGCATGTAAAGGAAGGTGGGGAAGGATGGCTCAGGCCAGGAGTCAGGAAACCTGAATCCTCTGCCACAGGCTACACTTGGTTTTGCCACCTTAACCTCCCTGAGCTTCAGCCTCAGTCCAGTCAACTCACCACGAGTTGGTCTAAGAACCAAAGTGCCTTCAGGAGTAAAAACCACTCCTAGAAGGTGGTGTGTTTGTTGACTTTAGGGGCACAGATGTTTATTTTGTTTCCCCAAGAAACACCACTCTGCCAGCTTCTGCAGAAGCTGAATCTCCTTCCCTTTTTCCCTTTTTAAAATTTTATTTTCTTTTCTACTTTGTTTTTGGATTGATTATAGATAGAGAATTTCCATCTCTCTCATCCAGCTTCCCCTAATGTCTTAATAGTTATCCAGTAGTACGTGGTGAATGTTAACTACCATAGATACTTATCAAAACCAGGAAATTAACACTGGTTTGATGCTATTAACTAAAAATTGTACTCAGATTTTACTAGTTTCCCACTAATGTCTGTTTTCTGCTCCAGGATTCTATCTAGGACCCCATATCACATTTAGTCATTATTTTATCCCAGTCTCCTTCCCTCTGTATCAGCTCTGTTGCCTTCCCTGGTCTTTTTTTTTTTTTTTTTGAGACAGAGTCTGGCTCTGTTGCCCTGGCTAGAGTGCCGTGGCGTCAGCCTAGCTCACAGCAACCTCAAACTCCTGGGCTCAAGTGATCCTCCTGCCTCAGCCTCCCAAGTAGCTGGGACTACAGGCATGCGCCACCATGCCCGGCTAATTTTTTCTATATGTATATTTTTAGTTGTTCAGGTCATTTCTTTCTATTTTTTTAGTAGAGACAGGGTCTCACTCTTGCTCAGGCTGGTCTCGAACTCCTGACTTTGAGTGATCCACCCGCCTCGGCCTCCCAGAGTGCTAGGATTACAGGCGTGAGCCACCACACCCGGCCCCTTCCCTGGTCTTTATGATGCTTTTTGAAGAGTATTGATCCTTTCTTTGGTCAAATGCCCCTTAATTTGGATTTCTCTGGCTTTTTTTCCCCCCCATGATGGACTGAGATTACACGTTTTTGGCAAGAATAGCACAGAAACTACGGTCTCTCTCTTTCCCCTTCCTCCACCCACTCACACACACACACACACGGGTCAGCAGCCTGGCAAAACACTTGTAAAATGTTGCTGATGCTAGCTGTGAGTGTAGGATTTTATATCCAACTATTGTTTAACACAGTCCTCTTGCTTTAGCTATATTTGTAATATATGACTTCCAGAGCATGTTATTCTTAGAATTTCTCAGGCTAATTTTGTTCTAAGAAAGCCAGAAAACTTCTGAGATATTCTCTTTAGAAAAGGCTTTTATTATTCAAAGGTCTTTAACAATTACTGTTTGGGGGCCAACTCTACAGTGAGTTTTAAATATAAAGCTTTTGAGAAGATAGTGGTGGTTTTCATGGAATAGCTTCCGTTTTTGGAAGCTGCATCTTTTTAGACTTGAGGGGTGGAGTAGGGCACGTTTATTAATTTGCGTTACAAAGCCACTATTACCGAGTGAGGGCAGACCTTTGAAGGATGTGAGAGATTGCTTGGTTTTATACAAATCATTAATTTCCTAGCAGAGAGCTAAGATTATTCTTGAGATTAATTAGAAGCTGCTTTCTTTTGGAATTGTGTGTGGATTAATGTCTGGGCTCACAATTGATGAAATTCCTCTTGCCATGCAGATGACAGGACGTACCACTTTCAAGCAGAAGATGAACAGGAATGTCAAATGTAAGTTACCTGGAGGTGGGACTTGGGTTGCATTCAGCCGTTGTTCTTGGGATTGAACACAGTGTCACTCTTGTTTTTCTAGATGGATGTCTGTATTGCAAAACAGCAAAGAAGAAGCTTTAAACAATGCATTTAAGGGGGATGACAATACTGGAGAAAATAACATAGTCCAAGAACTGACAAAGGAGATCATCTCAGAAGTCCAGAGGATGACGGGCAATGACGTGTGCTGTGACTGCGGGGCGCCAGGTGACCGGGGGCCCCCATCTACCCTAGGCTCTAGGACAGTTAAATCCCATTCCGATTCACAGAATCCATTCATTGATTTTTCACTTTCATTTCAAACACGAAATTAAGTGCAGCTCAGCCTGAGTTCATCCCATTACAGAAATGCTTAATGAACTGTGTGCAGACCACAGCAGGGAGAGGGGTGGGAAGATGTTCGCCTGTCGGGCCCCAGAGCAGGACTGAGTATAGATGGCCTGATGCGGCTGAAAAGATTTAACTGCTTTTTGAGCAATGAAAACTGAAGGGCACAGTGAGGGTCAGATAAAGGTCATCTGGCTGTTGCACCAGCTCTGAGAGGTGGCATGTGTATGGGCTTCTGTGCCCAGGATTTGCTCCATTCTCTCTTTGTCCTGCTTTGTAGAACTTCTGAAGTAACTTTACACTACTGTCTACTTCTGTGACCCTGGACGAGCTGCTTACTTTGGCAGACATCAGTTTTCCTATCTGTAAAGGCACAGGTCCCTTCCAGCTGTCACATTCTGTGAAATGAGATGTTTATTTTTGCATTTGGGTAAAGCATATTAGGGGCTTTATTTTTAATGGGTATGTAGTGTCACTGTTGATTTTAACAACTAGTATTTTAATGGCTTAAGGAGTTGACTTATTCTAATTAAGATGGGACGGTGTTGGGGGCCAGGGGAACTATGTAGATGCCTTTTCTGAACATTTGTGAAATGAGAAAAATTGGGGCTTGGCTACAACAGTCAGTTACATTTTCATTCCTCTAATTCTATGACAATTTTTATAAAAAAACAAACACAATCAAAATAGAGTGGACAGTTGAGAAGTGTCATTAGGTTCCTGTTACCCTGAAAGCTATATTTGGTCTTAGATCCATTAAATACCTTTTTGACAGGAGATGAGGTAGGTAGGGAGTAATAAATAGTGAATCGTGTTCTTTCTTGAGAAAGGTTAAAGACAGTGCAGGACTTGGATTTTTTACAACACTTTCATAAAGGACTCGAAGCTGCATACTTTGTTGTTTTAAAATGCTAAGGCAATGCAGGTGATGTAAAAACACGATACAAAGTCACCTAAATGTATGCACGTAACGCCCTAAAATCATAATAGATATAGTATAGCAGTCCTAGACAAGTGCAAACACAGATGCCCCGGAAGATTTTCTAGCATGGGTAGAGTTTTTTATAAATAGAGCATTTTTAAAATAGCTTCACGATTACCTGGTGACAAAGGTTGCGAAAATTACCTGCTGTGAATTTCTAAGGGCAACAAGAAATTCTGAAGAGTTGTACTTGTGGGCTGTGATAATGTGCTCAAGTAAATTCAGCATTCATCTGTCAAGCATTTCAGGGGTCCCTACTGTGTGCTGAGCACATAGTGGGATACTTCAGCGAGTAAGTGAACGTGCCGAGGGGAATGTGTGGCTTTGAACTCAGTTAAACACTGGGCTGAAGTCGGCTCTGCGCTCAGTCATGACCTTGAGTCCGAGTGTGGCAGAGCTGCCTCAGCTGTACAGGGAGATAAGCATCCCTGTCCTGGTCACCTCATGGGGCTCTTGTATGCATTAAAGGAGACACCATACAGAAGAGCTCTGTGACTTCTGGAGCTCTTACAATGTGAACTGTATTGTTGCTGCTACCAAAGTGCTGAGCACAGCATATCCTCAGCACCTAGTGTATGTTCTCCACTATTATTATTGGCATGTATAGACAGCCTATTCCCCTACGGTACTGGACTTTGGCTGGTCTCATGTTTTTCTCTTGCTGCATGCTGCCCAGGTGAGCAGGTTGGCGATGGGTGTGTTTGTATTCAGGACCCGCCTTGAGGAGCCCATGGTCACTGGGGTGTGGTGTCCTATTTACTTTTGCAAACATAGCACCTGCCACTTAAGTGAATGGAAGGATGGGGAGATGGAGACAGAGGGACAAGGAAGGGGACAGATGTGTGTATATGCGGATTGCATGTAAATGAGTGGTAATTACGGGCGAGCGAGGGTTCCAGCTGTGTCAAGGATCAGAAAATGCTCATGCTCAAAACTCACGTTCAGTGACTATCCAGGAAGAGTTCTGGCCCTGACCCTCCTCTTACCGCAAGCTCACATTTGCTCTGTTCCCTCCGGCAGATCCTACGTGGCTGTCTACCAACCTGGGCATTCTGACCTGCATCGAGTGTTCTGGAATCCATCGAGAGCTGGGGGTTCATTACTCCAGGATGCAGTCCCTGACCTTAGATGTATTGGGAACATCTGAGCTGCTGGTAATTTTTAAATTCTTGATTTTGAGTTGGGAATTAATGAACTAGAAGCTAAGTTTTTATCTTGGCATTCTAATCCATTTTGGTTTCTTGAAATTCCAGTGGGGTGGTGGTTGTTGATAGGTTGCCAGATGGGTTTGGATAATTAGCAATGCAGTGATAATTCCTGATTGTCAGCTACTGGTAGTTGGGAGCATTTCTTGTCGCAAAATTTTATTCTTAAGTGAATAAAGGGAAGTGAAATCAAAACAGAAGTGTTGAGACTGGTGTAAGATTCTGCTGGAAGGGAACAGGATGGTGGCATAGTCCAGTTCACCTCATCCATTAGACGTATCAGAACGCAAAGCCTGAAGACAGCAAAGGATTCCGTCTTCCTGAGTTGCCAGCCGATTCCTGACAAGGCAGTGGTCACTGCCTGCCTCCGCCCCCGTGGACACTCCCCGTCCCACCGTGTCTCCCTTGGGACAGATGCTGCTCTTTGTTTTCACTGCCTTTGTTCCTAAAAATGTCTTTTCATTCTTGGTTCAGTGGTTACACATAAGCCATGGGGTGGAAAGATATATGCGGAAGTAGAGGCGTTTTCTGTGAAGTAGCTTTCAGAGTATTGAGCCTGTGGCCCCACAAGGTACATAGACTTAGGTTGTGCTTTGGGCCACCTAAGACATGAGCATTTAAGGACTGTTTCCAAAGTCCATAATTGCTGGTTAGAAAGCAGTGCTTGAAATTCTTCCTTGAGGCAACTGGGTGTTGACAGTAAATAGTAAGTGGATATTGATTGCCATTGATTTTAATGTTGAATTTAAAAGTTACATCTAGAGGATTTAACGTCAAGAGCAATAGTCTTGACAGAAAGTCAATTATCGAGTTCCATATTCCTCTCAAGGTGCCATCAATCTTATTGATGATGTCTCTGGGTACAGTGTGTCTGAACTGCTAACGCACTTTGAACTCTTTTATCAAACACTTCTAGTCTTTCCAAGGAATTCCTTTATGGCCTTAAAAGACAGATTTGGGAGAAACTAAAGTAGATCCTGGCAGCCCAGTTAGTAACATTCCTAGTTACTTAAAACTAAGCTAGACTTAGCAAGACCCAAGCAGGCATTCTTGGTTACATACTGTAATTATTGTTAATGTAATAATGCATGTGACTGACATCTTGAAGGCGTGTACCTGTGCATGTGATTTCTCTTGGGTAACTGATGGTGGTGTAGCTTTGAGATTGTCACAGTATATTTTCAAAGAAACAATTACATCTCAGTAAACACTGGTGAACTATGGCAGTCGCGACTTTTACTGATTTTCTTAAAACAATGGGAAGTGTCAAGTGATTCATGATGAAATAATAATTGCTTATTTTGTACTAGGCTCTTTGCAGACCACTTTCTATGTATTAGCTCATGTGATCTTCACAAAAACCAGATGACCTTGGTATGTTATCCCTACTTTACAAAGGAAGAAACTGAGGCTTAGAATATTTTAATATGCATGGGGGTATGTGGCTATTCATGTGACAGAACTGTGGTGAGGGCCCCTTTAATCTGATTCCAGACCCACACGTTCCTAACCTTTGAGGAGCCTGAGACACGAACTGGCCTTTCTGGTGTGTTGCGTGGCCATGTGGTAAACACTTGAACATCACTACTGTCCCTGCCTGTTGCCCACCCCCCACAAATTTTTTACAGCCACCTCTGGGGCAAAAAGAACCCTGGTCTGCAGTCAGCCTCTTCTCGTGGTATAAATACTCCCACCACAGTCAATTTCAAGCTATACATGTGAATTACTGAGCGTGAAGTTGGACAGAGATGTTTGATTACACACCATTGTGTGGTACATCCACCATACAAATACAATCAACACAAATAACTTTAAGAACATACATAGGTAATAATAAAATGTAGTAAAATAATTAGGAAGTGATGAGTTTTGAGTATCTGATGCCTTAGTTTCTAATATAATTTATTTAGCTATGAGTTTATATACTGTAATTTTTAATAGCAGCCGTGTTTAATAGTTGGCTCACAAAATTCCTTAAATTTTAACAGTTGGCTCTCGTGAGCTGGTAGAAGCCTGACCCAACCCCTCCATCTGTTATGACTGTTTAAATGTGCCTCAGAAATTTAACTAATGATCTTCATGAGACTCTGTAGCCTACTAAAGAGGAAAACACCAAAGAAAATTGAAAGGAATGTGTTCCCATCTTGATGAAACAATGAAGTGACTTCTAATCCCTGGTTCAGATCTCAGTTTCTGTCTTCCAGAGCCTCTGTCTATAAAGTTTGGCCGACTCTCAACCATGATGAGAAATCAGGCATTTCCTGTTTTATTAATATCTGCAGATATTTTCTAAATCTCATCTGCCATAGTTACACTCTCTCTCGTCTCAGCCTTTCTTCCTCCATGGCTATCAGAAAAGCAAAAGGAGAGAAAGCGCCATGGTGTGTTGTGTGGGATTTATCCTCCCCCCACCATACCCTGCACTCTGGCTGGTGCTCTGGTGGCCCACAGGAGGTGGACATCTATCTCCCCAGTCTTGTGTGCTGTCGGTGTCACATCGTGTCTGAAACCTTATTCCTCAGCCCTTCAGTTAGGCAGTACGTGGAGAGAGTCAAGTGTTAGTATTCATTTGTAAAGCATAGAAATTTCAAGCCTTTTTAAAGCCACCTGGGTTGCATTATTTTGCTTAGACAATCATATGCCTGAACAGAGAATTTCCTAAGTCTTGACACATCTCTCTCATCTCTCTCATCTCTCTCATCTCTCTCTCTCTCTCTCTCTCTCTCTCTCTCTCTCTCTATCTATCTATCTATCTATCTAATTTAGAATTATGTCTGGCACATAGCAGGAACTATAAACTATTAGCTATCATCATTATCTTCTCCTTCAAGATGATTTTAACAAAAATGATCACATGTCCTAATACGTGATTCCGTGGGGAGACCACACAGGGCCTGTGCTGGTTGTCTGCTTCACTGCTGAACCTTTCTGATCCATAGAGCTGTGTGCAGTGCCAAAGGCTGTGGTCGACTTGTTCATCAAAGTATGTTTTCTTGTGCAGCAAATGTTGATGAGACCTCTTGGTACCCCATGAAAAGAGATTGGTGGGTGCAGTCTGGACAAGTTGTCTCACAGGAGTAGGATCCCTCATCTCTTAGGTAAATAGCAGGACAGCCCATGCCTCAGGGTGACGGGGAGATTTTTTAAAAAAATGTATTTACTGTTTTTTTTGTATGTATTATTGTATGTTTTTGTATGTATTATGGTATATGTGATGTTTTGGTATATTTATATACATTGTAGAATGATTAAATCAAGCTAGTTAACATTGATTGCCTCACATACCTATTTTTTATGGTGAGAACACTTAAAATCTACTGTCAACGGTTTTTAAGTAGATAATACATCATTGTTAACTATAGTTACCATGTTGTACATAAGCTGAGATTTTGTATTCTTTGACCAACATCTCTCCCCTGCCGCCCCCGCCCCTGGGTTACCATCATTCTACTCTCTGCTTCTGTGAGTTTGACTTTTTAATATTTCATATATAAGTGAGATCATGTAGTATTTCTCTCTCTGTGCCTGGCTTATTTCATTTAACATAGTGTCCTGCAGATTCATCATGTTGCTGCAAATGACAGGATTTCCTTCTTTTTAATGGTCAAATGGTATCCATTTTGTATATATACACTTTTTTTTTTATCCATTCATTCATTAATGGGCACTTAGGTTGATTTCCTGTCTTGTCTATTGTGAATATGCTGCATTGAACAAGGGGGTATATATATGTCTTCAATACCCAGAATTGGGATTGCTCATTCATGTGGTAGTGCTATTTTTAGTTTTTTGAGGCAATCCCATACCATTTTCTATAATGGCTGTGCTAATTTACATTCCTTCCAACAGTGTGCAAGGATTCCCTTTTCTCCATATCCTAGACAACACTTTTGTCTTTTTAATAAAAGCCATTCTAACACTTGTGAGGTGATAGCTCACTGTGGTTTTGATTTGAATTTCCCTGATAATTAGTTATGTTGAACATTTTCTGATATACCTGTTGGCCATTTGTATGTCTTCTTTTGAGAATTGTCTATTCAGGTTCTTTGCCCATTTTTAAATTGGGTTGTTTTCTTGCTGTTGCGTTGTTTGGGTTCCTTATACATTTTGGATGTTAACTCCTTATTAGAGTATGGATTTGCAAATATTTCCTCCCATTACACAGGTTATCTGTGTTGATTTTCTTTGATTTGCAGAAGCTTTTTAGTTTGGTGCAATTCGATGTGTCTATTTTTGCTTTTGTTGTCTGTGAGGAAAGGGTTTTTTAATGGCCTGAAAGAGACAGCAGGTATGTGAGGAGGACCTGGTTCGACTGTGTTTTCATTTTCTCTTGGCATTGAGTCCCTAAACAGACACATGCTCACCCCATAAATGTCACTCCAGTCCTTCCATATGGCCTCACCATGTTCCTCATGATAAGAGTCTTTTGCTTAATTCTGTAAATTATTTTATGGCCTCAGGTTTGCAAATAGTTTCACCAGATGATACAGTGTTTGTTTTACCATTTCCTAATTTGTTTTTGTTTCAAAGCACATACGTTTTCCATGTTAATTCAATGGATTTCAGCAGCATCCATGAAGGTGGCTGGTTAGTAATAATCTTTTTGTCCCTTTACCTGTTTTTAGAGTCACTTCTTAGTCAGTGGAACGGAATTTGAGAAATTGAAGTATTAAGTTGATTAGTTCTGGGGAGTCATGCTGCCTTCATTTTTTGGCACACACTGGCTTGATATCCTTAGATTTTAAAGCAAACCTGTTTTTAGAAAACCTTCTGGTAAGCATAGATTTTAAAGGGAGAAATTTCCTCCTTAATGTAGAAGATAAATGATTTCATCATTGATTTTTCAGGTCATAATGAAAAACAGTATCATTGGTACTAGGGTAGTAGCATCATGTGATGCATTTCACTATCCTAAGTGAAAGTAATAAAGGAAATCTTGATATTCTGAAATTGAATGGAATTTTACCTTAACAAATATTTATTGCCTCAGCTGTGTTTCTTGACTTTCTCCTGTTTCAGTTCTCATGAGGCTGTTAACAAGCTGTCATGTATTAAAGCAGGTCAGCGCACAGCCAAGTCTGAAGGAGAGTGTGTAGAGGGGAAAGCCCCCCAAAGACCAAGAACTTACTTACAACTCATAACTGTTGTTTCACCTGAGCCACGCAGGATGCTAAAAGTAATTGTTTAAGGCAACAAGAAATTGACAATCAGCTATCATTTATAGAATAATTGTTGGGCTCCAGGCATTGTCATAGGTGCTCTACATACATTATATTTAATCTAAACAAGAACTCCATTTTAGAAATGAGGCCAGAGAGGTTAAGAAACTTGCCCAGATGACTGAGCCAGGGTTTACACTCCAGACTGTTGGACTCCAGAACCTGTGCCCTATCCTTTTTTAAAAATCATGGCTCTGAATTTTTTTAAACCACAAATCCTAGCAGAAAAAATTGAGCATCAAAAAATATATATAGGGTATTTGCAGGTCGCAGGGAGCCAGGCCTGGCGGGCTGGGTGTGTCGCGATGCCAGAGCTGGCGGTGCAGAAGGTGGTGGTCCACCCCCTGGTGCTGCTCAGTGTGGTGGATCATTTCAGCCAAATCGGCAAGGTCGGAAATCAGAAGCGTGTTGTTGGTGTGCTTTTGGGGTCATGGCAAAAGAAAATACTTGATGTATCCAACAGTTTTGCGGTACCTTTTGATGAAGATGACAAAGATGATTCTGTCTGGTTTTTAGACCATGATTATTTGGAAAACATGTATGGGATGTTTAAGAAGGTCAATGCCAGAGAAAGAATAGTTGGGTGGTACCACACAGGCCCTAAACTACACAAGAATGACATCGCCATCAATGAACTCATGAAAAGACACTGTCCCAACTCAGTACTGGTCATTATTGATGTGAAGTCGAAGGACCTGGGGCTGCCCACAGAAGCATATATTTCAGTGGAAGAAGTTCATGATGATGGAACTCCAACCTCAAAAACATTCGAGCACGTGACCAGTGAAATTGGAGCAGAGGAAGCCGAGGAAGTTGGAGTCGAACACTTGTTACGAGACATCAAAGACACTATAGTGGGCACTCTGTCCCAGCGGATCACAAACCAAGTGCGTGGTTTGAAGGGACTGAACTCCAAGCTTCTGGACATCAGGAGCTTCCTGGATAAAGTAGCCACAGGCAAGCTGCCCATCAACAACCAGATCATCTGCCAGCTGCAGGACGTCTTCAACCTGCTGCCAGACGTCAGCCTGCAGGAGTTCGTCAAGGCCTTTTACCTGAAGACCAACGACCAGATGGTGGTGGTGTACTTGGCCTCGCTGATCCGTTCCGTGGTTGCCCTGCACAACCTCATCAACAACAAGATCGCCAACCGGGATGCTGAGAAGAAAGAAGGGCAGGAAAAGGAAGAGAGCAAAAAGGATAGAAAAGATGACAAAGAGAAAGATAAAGATAAGGAAAAGAGTGACGTGAAGAAAGAAGAGAAAAAGAAAAAACGTGTAGCTTTTTTTAATTTGTAAATTAAAATCTTATGAACTAAAAAAAAAATATATATATATATATAAACTTGCAATTATACCTATACTAAGTATATTATATGCTTTGTAAAATATATCAAACATAGAAGTTTCAAAGGCTCAGATAAAAACATAATATGTAAACTTCTCTCCTACACTCCAGAGGATTCTTTTGGCCAAACCCCTTCACCTGTCTGGGCCTGTATCCATCTGTATATCGAAGGTGTCCTAGGTTCTCTAAGCCTTTCACCCTTCTGGGATTGGAAGGGCCCAATGAGTAATAACCCATTTCCCTACGCACATTTGGAACCAGTTGAGAGATGATAGGTAAGGTAAGCAAATAGAGATCCAATTCAGATCTGTTGTTGGCTGAGGCTGAGTTGGTTGCCATGGTTCACAAAGTGGGTGACAGTGTGCTGGCCTGCTGACCCACCCAGGCCAGGCAGTGTGACTCTCCTGGCCCAGGAAGCCAGCATGGAGGAGGAGCTGACCATGGAGTTGTCTCCTGTGGGCAGGAGGCTAAGGAAGAACAGCTACCCTTGGCCGGTTCTCCTCTTGAGCTCAGCTGTCAGAGAAGTCTTGTGGCTCTCATGTGCTCATTCCTCTCCTGGGGTGAGTCAGACTAGAGAAAGGAGAAGAAAGTCACAGTAATTGATGTCCCTCCCTGTGGAAGCATGAAAAAGGGAACAGAAGGTTTCCCCAAATCCACCCCAAACTCTAAAAACAATTTCTAGGTAAAACCTAAGGCCTCTTTGTGACTCAGGGGGCTCTGCCCAGGTAGGTGCTGAGGGTGTGCAAAGTATGCGATTCCGTGTTCCTGTCTCGGGTGCTGCCCTCAGGGAAGGAGACTGGCCCATGCAGAATGACTCCCCCTCTTGGCGAGTGCCGAGGAGAGAAGTCCTCCTGACCAAGGGACTGCTCTCTCATCCGGACCTGGCATCTCTGTCCTTGTAATGCTCGGGACAAACTTCTTTTCCAGCTCTCATTGCATTGTGTTTCTGTCTTATTAATTCATCCCTGCCTCGTTAGACTGAGCTGCGGTAGGGCAGGCTCATGCCCCACGCACAGACGAGGGGTGCAGGGTGCATTCGCAAGTGGCAGGAAGAGTGAGGGGCTGGGCTGCAGCCTTGCTGCCTTGGGTGCTGAGGGGCTGGGCTGCAGCCTTGCTGCCTTGGGTGCTGAGGCACTTAAACACTCCCGTCTCTGCTCCCACATCCAGTCTAGCTGGATTTCTCCCCCTCACATCCCTCAAATTCCTTCTGGGTGACAGTGAAAGGCATGAGATATGAGGGCACAGGTTGACACCCCATCTTCCTGCCCCCTCAGCTTCTGCCCGCACGGCCTGCTGGGCCCCACATTTTCTTGACATGACCCTGCAGCCTCCATGTGCAAATGCTTTGCTTTTTTTGGTGGTTCCAGAGGGGTTCTCTGTGGGCTGAAATATAAGCTAGAGCTTGGCAGAACCGTGAGGCAGCACTTTTCTCTAGTGTTGGATGAGTGTGACGCATGGATGTAGTGGCTCCCTAGACCAGCTGTCCCCTGGTAAACCAGCCAAGTCCAAGCAGAAGGGAAGCAGTTTTCTGATTCCTGGGGAATTCTCCTCCACCCTCCCCACCCCTATCTGCTTAGCACAGATGAGGAGGCACCCAGGTGGTCTCTGGCACATACGGGGTGCCACTTTGGCTTCTTCTGTCACTCCCCTTTGGGAAAATGTTGTGTTTCGCTGGGACGGTGTCCACATTGTAAGACGGGGCATTTGAGCATGCCTAGCTATAAACCAGGGGCTCCAATATTGAGGTTCAGTCCTGGATCTGAGACCCATTGCCTAAGGGATCCTTTGCAGGGCCTTAGCTTCATGGTACGTAGATACTTGTCACCGTAAGTGGTAGGCCACCTGACCATTAGCCTGTACCTGGGAAAACTGCAACACAGCATATTGGTTTTTGCCTCCTGGTGATGGTTTGAGGCCACAGAGCCAGGACAGAGCAAGGAGGTAGAGTTGGTTAGCATTTGGTGCTTTGGAACATCTAGAAAGCTTTGTTTACCTATCAAGGACCAGGTAAAATTAGGAAAGCTCATCATACAACTATTAAGCTACCCCACTTGCTTGAAAAATTTCTTCTACATGCTTGACTATCCCATTCCACCGTTTGCTGTTATTTGCCACCAGGAAATTCCACCACGTCTAACCCACATCCCTTTGGCTGTTCCTTAAGCCAATTCCCCTAAGAGGGAAACCAGACCCTTGAGGCAGCTACAGCGCCCTCACCCCCAGCATCTCCATTAACCCTTTGTCTGCATAATTAATTGAGAGTAGAAATATCAGAAGTGTCACTACTTGTCACTACTCCCCAACACATCATTTTCAACACGGAAATTAAAATAGCTATTCTCTCAAAGCGCTGGACTCGGGGCTCCCTTCTAGTGTTGTTTCATTAAACATTTAAGGATGTGACCGGGAAGCTGACCTTGGGTGTGGGGAATGAGTTGAACAAATCCCTGCTCTTCAGGAGATCCTATTCATTGATTCATTCATTCATTCTAAAGAATGCCAGTTGCCGTATTGTCAAAGTATCATAATATAAACCATGATCTTTATATCTGCCACAGGTTGCGTATTCCTTATCCAAAATGCTGTATTCCTTGTCTGAAATCCTGAGACCAAAAGCGTTTCAGATTTGAGACTTTTTTGGTTTTTGGAATATTTGCATTGTGCTTTACACTTAAGGTGAGAAAAATCTGAAATGCTCATTAGAGCATCACGTCTGTGTTCAAAAGTTTCAGATTTTGGATTTTCAGATTAGAGATGTTCAACGCATGTATAAAGGACAATGCCTGGTATTCAGTAAGTGTTCAATTAGAGTGTGTTAATTTAATATTTAAATGTCAGAAGATTGATTGGAAAGCAACGATTGGAGCCAACACACTACATGTTTAGTGCTTCAGTTTATGGAGTGTTTTCACCTAAATTGTCCCATTTATCATTATTACAGCCCTGCGGTAGGTGTCATCCCATTTATTGATGAAAATTCTGACACTCAGGTAAACTGCCTTGCCTGTGCTCACACGGTGGTAATAGAACCATGATTTGAACCGGAGTCTTGGCTTCCTGGCCCAGTGCCCTTTCCACTGGCTAGAGCCACCTGGTAGGTGGCATAAATAAAGGTCATTTGGGACACGTGAAACAGACACATGATGGTGGTGGTATGGTGAGGCTCACTTGCCACCGTGTGTGTAACACCCTGGATTTTGTGTTGTTGAGTCACTTTCTCATCCTGGTTCTCTCTGCATAAGGTTTTTGGGAGGTGTAGGGGTAAGGATGGAAACCCACGTTGGGCCAAGTCACCGGTTCTCCCTGTCTCTATCGGTACTCTATCCAGGGGGCATTTATGAGAACGCTCCTCTGTAATAGGCATACTGCTCATCTTTAATTTTATGGCTACCTTTGGGCTTTGGGTTTTGTCCATCTTCATTAAAGGCAAACAACTTTATCGCTCTATTTCTTAGTGGCCATTAAATAAACCATCAAATGTATGAGTAATATGTAGCAGCGGAATGTATTAATAATTGAGTACCCTGAAATAGACTTTTATTTTTGCAGCTTGCCAAGAATATTGGGAATGCAGGCTTTAATGAGATTATGGAGTGTTGCCTACCAGCCGAGGGCTCAGTCAAACCCAATCCAGGGAGCGACATGTAAGTATGGGACTGACTGTTCTTTTCCGAACAAAGATTTGCCTTCTACCAAAGCCCTAGGGGGGAGGGGACTGACAAGTGTTGGGTACATCCATTGTTGCTTCTTTAGGGAATAAATCAGCCTAAATTAGGTTTTCTTGGTCACTTTAGCCTTTTGGGTGACCAAATAGAAATTTGTGGCTGTTTTTTTAGGAAGAGGCCAAAGGAAAGCCGGTTTAGCAAATGCCGTGCCTACATGATGGTGGTGGTGTGGTGAGGCTCACTTGCCGCTGTGTGTGTAACACCCTGGGCTTTGTGTTGTTGAGTCACTTTCTCATCTTGGTTGTTCTCTCTGCATAAATTCTGAGCCACGGGGAGGGCTAGTTGTCATAGATACATGATTGTGTATGCCTCTCTTTACCAGTGTCCTTGCAGTGTGGGGTTTTCTTCAGTACATTTTTTTGTGTGTTTGTTGTACTGTTGATACAAAACTTGATTGAGAAGTTTTTGTGCCTCTTCATGCATCCATCCAGCCCACTGAGGCAGAGCTTACAACAGGGAATTTTCTTGCCAGTTTTATCAAAGTGTAAGTCACCCAGATCACACTGGTCTTTGAAAAGGAGATGGACAGGTAGAGCAGTGGGTCTGGGCAGCATGTGTCCTGCCCACCTTAGACTTCAGCCCTGTTCAGGGCGACTAAATAGGAGGGCTCTGGGGTGGTTTACCTGCTTTGTTACGATGCAAAGTGAGGCAGACCGAAGGAAGGAGAGAGAAAGGTCACCAAGCCAGTTAAAAGAGACAGTGCCTGCATTTAAGTGGTGAAGCTGGTGCAAGGTATTCTGGCACGATAGGATAAATGAAAAACGTGATAAGAGAAAGTATAAAAATTCATTTCCAGAGACAGCATTTTCCATGGAATAAGCTTGAAATAGAATTAATGGCACAGGTCTCCGCAAAGGTCATTGAGTAACAATGAGCGATGTCTTTTAAGAATGGTTTTACAAATAGGCAGTAGTAGCCGGGCGCGGTGGCTCACATCTGTAATCCTAGCATTCTGGGAGGCCGAGGCAGGTGGATCGTTTGAGCTCAGGAGTTCGAGACCAGCCTGAGCAAGAGCGAGACCCCGTCTCTACTAAAAATAGAAAGAAATTACGGACAACTAAAAATATATAGAAAAAATTAGCCGGGCATGGTGGCCCATGTCTGTAGTCCCAGCTACTCGGGAGGCTGAGGCAGTAGGATCGCTTGAGCCCAGGAGTTTGAGGTTGCTGTGAGCTAGGATGACGCCACGGCACTCTAGCCCGGGCAAAAGAGTGAGACTGTGTCTCAAAAAAAAAAAAAAAAAAAAGAAAGAAAGAAATTAATTGGACAGCTAATATTTATATAGAAAAAATTAGCTGGACATGGTGGCGTGTGCCTGTAGTCCCAGCTACTCGGGAGGCTGAGGCAGGAGGATCGCTTGAGCCCAGGTGTTTGAGGTTGCTGTGAGCTAGGCTGATGCCACAGCACTCTAGCCTGGGCAACAGAGCGAGACTCTGTCCGAAAAAAAAAAAATAGGTGGTAGTGTATGGGCCTTTTGTTAAAAGCAGAGAATTTTGATTTTTGGAACCATTTTGTGGGACGTGTCTTTGGGAAACCGAGGCTGCAGCACCTGTGCTCTTTTGCGTTGTGATAATGTGACTGGATGCAGTGAGAGCGCTGAGACTTTCTAAAGGAATGAATAGGTGCCATGGCCATTGCTGGCTGTCTCGGGCATCAGGTGTCAGGTGAGCCATTTGCTTGGTGTTAGATGAAAGTCCGTGTACGTTTGAATCTTGTAACAAGTGTTTGTGGTGTAGCATTTCTTTGAGATTGGATAATGTGTGGTTTTAGATACCAGGCACGAGGCTCACAAAGCTAATATCCTTTCTTGATGAGGATCTAAGTTTCAAATCTGTATTTTTACCCAGACTCAGAGAGGCAATAGGGACACAGATATCCCAGTCCCTACCTGAGTCCTGGGACTGGGTTAGGTTATTTAACTTTTCTGAGCTGGAGCCCCATTTTCCTCTAATATGGAAAGGGAGATAACACTCCACCCTCCCAGAGGCTTTGGGGAAGTTATCAGGTGAGGAGGTCAGACATGCAGCACTTGGTTTTCATGATGCATTGGTGTTGGCACCTAGCTGGCTCTTGCTCACATGGGCGATAGAGGCCACACAGGTGCCCTGCACTGATTGTACACACCCTAAAACTTGAGGTCCTCTCCGGGTAGTTACCCAGAGGTGAATGAACTCTTCCTGGGAGAGCCTGAGGGTCCTATGTAGCAAAGGAGCTGCCATGGCCTGGTATGGTGGGTTGAGTTACTGCTGCGCAGTTGACACCTGCTCTTGCTGCTTGTTCATCTCACGTTGAAGGTTCCCGTCCCCTGAAATGCTGTAATATCGGTCAATTTTAAACAAAGTGTATGATAAATCATTTCTTCCAAGTACCTTATAAAAGTAGAGCATTTGTTTCTTCTGGGGCTGGATGATTCTGAAAACTGAATACTCGCAAGGAGGCAGAGGCAGGAGGATCTCCTGAGCCCAGGACCTAGAGGCCAAGTCTGGGCAACATAATGAGGCTCCGTCTCAAAAGAACAGGCCAGGTGCAGTGGCTTACACCTGTAATCCCAGCACGTTGAGAAACCAAGGTGGGAGGATTGCTTGAGGCCAGGAGTTTAAGACCACCCTGGGCAACATAGCGAGACCTCCTCTGTACAAAATTTAAAAGTGAGCTGGATATGGTGGCGTACACCTGCAGTCCCAGCTATTTGGGAGGCTTAGGTGGGAGGATTGCTTGAACCAGGAGTTTGAGACTGCAGGGAGCCATGATCATGCCACTGCACTCCAGCCTGGTGACAGTGCAAGACCCTGTCTCCAAAATAATTAATAATTTAAAAACATACAAAAACAATCTACCTATTTGGAACCCTTCAATAGAAATGTTCTGTTTGCATTGAGGTCCTCATCCCTAACCTTGGCACTGTGGAAAAGGAAGTTAACATTCCCCCTTCCTTTCTTTTTTTCAAAATTAGGGTGGATAGCCAGTGTGATGGCAAAATGCCACCTCCTTTTGTTCCTTATCAGTCGAAATTAATTGTTTGGCTCTCTGTGCTCCTGTAGCATTTGGCTCTATTTTAAAACATTTTAAAATACCCACTTCAGAGTATACCTGAGTATTTACATATAGTTTTCTGATGAATTGCACCTTACTCATTTTTGTATTTATTTCCGTATCATCATGGTTCAATGAGTATTTAACGAGTCAAGTCAGAGAAGTAGTCCCAGCTCTATCCCTACTTAAATAAGCTAATATTTTACTTTCAGATGAAAAGGAATGTACTGTTACTAGGTTTATCTGAGAACAACACACTGTCTGCAGATAAATCTGTTGAAGGGAAAACCAAAGACACCCTCTAGTGGTCTGTGAATGCCCAGATGGATTTTGGGGGTGTCGAGGGAAAGGCCAGACATATATCTACCCACAGAGGCCGGTCTGTTTCTCTCTCTGACCTGGGACCATTTGGAACCCTGTCCTTCAGAAGCATAAGGAAAGCTCCTCTTCTGAATACCAAATGTGTCGTTATTTTAAGTTCATTGCTTTTCTCCAAAAGGCTGTCTTAAAAAAAAAAAAAAAAAAGGCAGGGCGTTGCATTGGCAGAGAAACCTTCACAAAACCAGGGAAGCTGGAGTGCAGTTCAACAGTGTGGTGCCTGTGTTTGTGGAAGAACCACCTTCAGGGGCCTCAGAGCCCTGGGCAGATGAATAATATATGAAAAAATAATTGCAGGAAATCCAGCTTATCTCTACCCCCCTTCCTCCAGGGGTCGCAGTAATGACTTTCCCACAGTGATTGTTGAAAGTGCATGAAACTTGACAACTGTCCAGTCTGACTGCCTGTCACAAGAGATGTTTAAATCATTAAATGGGCTGCCCAACACAACACGTCGTCAAGCTAGGAGGCCCCAAGGGGAGAACCTGCATGAGTAAAAGAAGTCTGCCCCCAGCGAGCTTGCCAGCTGCCTGAGAAACAGAATCTAATTTCGCCTCTGTGGATAGTAAGTCCTCACTTAACGTTGTTGTGATAGGTTCTTGGAAACTTCAACGTTAAGTGAAACAAAGTATAAGGAAACTGTTTTACCGTAGGCTAATTGATATAAGCATGAGTTAAGTCCCTACAGCATATTTCTGGTCATAAAAGCATCACCAAACTTCTAAATAAAGACACACAACAGTTCCAGTATTAAACAGTGAAATAAATATGAGCTATACATATGTTTTAAAAAGATGAATAAAAGTTAGTAGGAGAATTATTTACCCACGTATTCCAGTTCAGGGTCTCGGGTGGTCAGAGCCTGTCTCAGCAGCTCAGGGTGCAAGACAGGAACCGGCCGTGGACAGGACTCTGTCCCATTGCAAGGTGTGCTCACACACACCCCCACACTCATACTGGGACAGTGTAGACATGCCATTTCACCTCACATCCATAGCTTTGGGACACTGGAGGAAACCAGAGTACCAGGAGGAAACCTGTACAGGCATGGGGAGAATGTACACAGTCCACAGAGACAGTAGCCTGGTTGTGAATAGTTTTCTTGCCAATGTTATAACAAAATGACGTTAAGCAGTGTTATTCGAGGACCTGCTGTACTTATCTGCAAGGTGGAGATAAAAACTCGTAGCACTGTTGTGAGGGTCCAATGAGATGACGTTATTGCCACTTGACTCCCATGAGATCATGCATGCAGAAGTGGCCCTGACCGCAGTCAGTGTGGTGTTCTTGTTAGCACCTTTGGGCAGGGGAGCAGGTAGTCAAGGCACCAGCCTTAACCTGGGCCCTGCAGGGTGAGTGAAATGGGCTGGAGCAGGAGGGATGCAGCGTGATTAAAAGTGCTGGAGCACGAGTTCACCAGGTGCCCCTGGAAGTTCTTCTTGGGCTGTGAAATGCGCTGCCCACTCGGTGGAGCCAGGGCTCTGGGATGCATTTTCCCCTGGACCAGT